GTTATAGCCTGAAACATAAGCTTTAGAATGTTGTAAGTGTATTTCACAAATCAAAAGACTTAGTATGTGTCTGAAGTTTTGAATCTTTAGGTAGTCAGTAGATGGAAAAATTGGGAATTTAACTGATTGGGTGAGGGAAACCAACATTATTTTTCTTACTGATACTGGCTTTGTGTGGAGGTTTTGAACTTGTATAGTTAATTGCTTTGAGCCTGAACAAGATTGATGGTTCCTATTGCTTTATGTTAATGTTTCATCAGTTTTTGGTTTTAGCCATTTTAGTTAACTAGAAACCACTACATTAATTCTTAGTACATCTTATACAATGTGCTGTTTCCACTCTTGCTGTTAGCATATGTGACTACTTAATTAACTCTTGTTAACAATACCTTCAATAAATGGCAATATGTGGTATAGATTTTAATTTACTCAAGTGGTGTAAAACTATTTTTTAATGTGTGTGTGTGTGTGTATATTTGTGCAATTCAGATCTCATTTTAGTTGAATGTTGGTGACAGTGGTTATGTGTTTGCATACTTTTATATTGTATAGTGTATTTTACAAAAAAAAAATTGACTCATTAGTTGTAGTATTTTTAAAATAAATTAAAAAACTATTACTGTAATATTCCCATTTAATATTTAGTAGGCTGTAAGACTGATATGATTTTGAAACTTGTAAAATAGATAATTTTAATCCAAGGAAAGTCCTTGAAAAATTATGAAACTTTGTTGATCAAGTCTTGTGCAAATCCTAAATATCATATACTTTTATGCTATATGTAAGTTATTTGTGTATTTGAAAAATTGTTAAAGAAAAGCTAAGTTACAAAAACAAAAAGAAGATAGATGGTAATTATAAAAAATATATATATAAACTGTAGTGTAATATGTAGAATAAATACCACAGAGTATTTTGAGGTAATAATAGTTCATAATTCCTGTATGGCTATAACCTCTCATTAATGGTGGTGTTTTTTTGACTGTTGTGTCTCGTAAAGTCTAGAGTGGTATTACCATCAGAGTTGATGGTTTTTTGATTGATTTTCTGTGACTTGCATGCTTATGTAGTCATGGTTACACGGTACATATACAAATAGTTTACTGTGAAATGGTACAGGGATACTCTCTGTATTAAGATCAAATTTGGAATGATACTACTTTTGTACTGTGTGCATGTTTGTGAATGACATGAAAAAGCTGTAAATACTTTTTTGTTTTGAAGCTTAGGAAAATGAAAAGAAATTCTATACCAAGACATTTCACTTCTCCAGTCAAACTTCCTCAGGATCCTTGATCAAATATAAGTTTTGGTTTTGCTATCCAAAGAAAGCTATTCTAACCTGAAGTAACCAGAGTACATGTGTGAAAACTATTACCTTTAAATCATAAATTTCTATAGTTTTAGTTTATTTACAGCAAAATTATATATTTATACATTTGAGTTGGCTGTGGTTGTTAGATTACCATTAGTCTAAGGACATTGAAAGTATGCATTACATTGGATTGTCATCTATGTGGTAAAGCTAGGCAGTTAGTGGTATTTGCTACTTGAATGATTGATGGTCCCATTAATGAATAGATTAATTAATTAAGCAATTAATACAGTGCTTCTCAAACCATTTTTAGCCAATATTTCCCAAACTAATTACAAGCAAAAAGGTTGGTGTAAGGTACTACTAGATATTTACCTTCGTTCTAGGTAGTAGTTCAAAATTAACCCATTATTAGCTGTGTGCTTCACAACAAACAAACATGATAGCAATAGTTTGATTACTTGAATAGTTGGGTTAATGGACTATAGTAATAATCAGAAACCCTATTTTGATTAGTTGATTACTTTCATAACAGTCGATATAATCAGAGTTTTGATTGATTAATTGATTAAACTGACCAGCTCTAAATTGTTTTTATTTTCATGAGCAGATTTGGAGGAGGGGGGCAGACCCCACCCTTTCATTAAAATTCCAATATTTGTCTTTAGTTTTTGTCTGAGGGTTCAAATTGTGCATAAATGTTTCACTTCCAATTATCGTAGAAATGATGGAAAAATACTTGTTGATTTTTTTAATACATCTGTGAGGCAATCTTGATATTGGCATTTAGACCCTCCCCCCTTCTTAAATTCCAGGATCTGCCCCTATTTTATTATCCCTATTTTTCACTATTCTTGCTACATCTTTTTGCTTAGTTTGTATTTTTGTAACAATTTTTACAGAATTCATTTTGGAGGAAGAGAATTTACTGATACATTTGCAAACAAACTGAACTATATATCTTAAGAATATTAACTGAAATTATTTTTAATTGTATAATAGCAAAAAAACTAGTAGAATTATGCCATAATGATAATGTTATAGTCTAGTATTCTATTCTATCATCCTTTTTCTACATTCTAAAATTCAATTCTCTCATAAATTTTAACATTTTTACTTTTGGCTGTATTTTACAATAATTTTACTTTTCTTCTGCTGTTCATGTTTTAGTTTCTATGTATTTTACATCAGTAATTTTTCTTTGGCAACTATGTACAGTATGTATGTTTTTTTGTCTTCTCTAACATTTTGAATTTGTTAATGGTTCCACAGAGAATCTTAATTCTTGTTTGTTCTTTCACCTGTACATCCTATTCATAGTCAAGGGACCCTTTTTTATTATGTTTAAGATGTAGCCGAATTTTGTTTAATGTCTCTATTATTTTAAGCCTTGAATTTGATATTTGGCAATTGGCCAGTATCATTCATTTTTTAACCATTTGTTGATTGGTGTTTCCTGTGACCAGTAGTATCTGCTGACCCCCCTCCAAAAAAAAAAAAAGCTTGAACTTAGAAAATGTGAAATATTTAATAATTTAGAAATATCCCCAGTAATCCTCCCCTCTCTCAAAACTTTGTTTTTTTACTTGAGAATAAGAATACTCCAACCAAAATGGCATGGACACATCCAGTGTTCACTGGTAACAACATGTGAGAAATCTTAATTCAAATCTTTATTGTATAAATTGAAACTTTTTTTTCTTTGTAAGCGATCAATAAAAATGTAAGTATAAGTGAATACATTTGGGCAATTATTGGAATTTGCTAATTGGTTTATAATTGGGATCAATTACCAATTATTCTCACAAGTTGACTTAAAAAAACAACTACTTCTAACCCTGAAACTTAAGTTTCAATACCTGTAGTAGGCAAAATGTAGATAGTCTTTTATGTAGCTGTGTGCTTAACAACAAAAATAATGGCAATATTTCAATTATTTTGATAGTTCGAATAATTAAAAGTAGTAACAATAGAAACCCTAATTTCTAGTTGTTTATTTTCATAAATTATGAACAATCCTGAATCAATCGAGAATAATAATGAAAAATCATAAAAATATTTGTTACTCAATTGTTAAAATAATTGAAAACCATAATCAAATAATCAAAATTAGGGTTTACTGTTATTGTTTTAATGACATTTATTGATTACTGGATATCTAGAATAACTGAAAACACTAGATTATTTTTGTGATTCTCAGAACTTGTGAAAGCTAAGAAGAACTTATATTAACCACATTACAACTGCCATTTCCAGTGTCTTAGTGGAATCTAGTCAGAATACAGATCCCTAGGATTATCATCTATTGCATTGTTCTACAAGTTTATGTGTCTAGAATTCCTCTTTTGACTAGCTGTTTACTTGTGTGCATTATCTTTGTTTGAGATGATATGTTTATTCTGATAGGATTTTCCTGGTTATTTGTTGGTCCTATCAGGAAAGAAACTTTGAACATATTATAGATGTAATCTTTGGTTTCTCTCCCCTGCCTACCATCTCACCACCACTGCTTTCTCTTCATAGTCTTTCCTAGTAGCACCCAATGATTTTCCCATCTGGACCACTTCAGACAATCACCATAAAACAAAGGGCTGGGCATGAGCTTGTTGGGAACACGCCATTCCCCAAATACAGCTTTACTTACTTTTGCAATATCTGATAATATTCTGAGCTACACATCAGATTTTTGAGAGCCTGAGGTGACCTGCAGGCCTTCTATTTTGGGACCACTATCTTTTATACCCCTTCGTTACTTAGTGAAGAGGTTCTAACTATGTGAATTAATTGAGGATTATATCAGTGTTTGAAATCTGAATTATTAACTGTCTAATATAAATTGGATTCATTTAAGTGCTTAGCTTTAGGTAAGCACATGTACATCCCACTCTTCCTCCCCTCTTATGAATATATATATATATATATAACAGATGGCTCCTATCTGACATATAGAGGACAGAAACTACTGCTTACCTAAATATAGGTGGAAGTTACTGATTGGTGTAGTTGTCCTTTGTGAAAAGTGTAAGTATTTGGTAATGAAATAAAAATAGAGAAACCTTAATGTGCATTTACATGGTGGTAAGTAATTAATATAATTCCATTTGAATCTTTAGATAATTACTTGTATTTACATTGTGCTTCAGTTTGCTCCCACATGTGTAGTATATTACTTTTTAAGGGATATTAGCTGTTTTAGGCTTCCCCTGTTATTTATATTTGTAATGTTATACTACATTTTAAACTGGTTCTTCAGTCTATACATACATTGTAGCATCTCACTTTATTACTTGATTTTAGATTAATGTTTTAGGCATCTCACTCATTTCCTGTGATGTTCTAATTTTTTCTCATGTCATCTGTTTTTTGGGTCTAGTATAATGATAATTTATTTTAGAATAATGGACTGAAAGATTTACTGTGTGGAGGGAAAAAAAGGTTTTGTTCAGCAGATACATGTGTATGCCCAATCATGCATGTAACAGTGTGTGCTAAAAATATTTCTAGACATTTGTTTGTGATACTACTGTAGGTCTGTATTTAAAAAAATATATTATTTGAACAAAGAACTAAATATATCTAGATTTATATAGTATATAGGAATAGCCACATTTGGCTTTGTCATGTGTACAAAAGGAATGTAAGTGTATTGCATTATTATGTACTAAATAGTATTTTCTTTAAACAGATAAGACAAAATCATGGGTTGCTCAACAAGTAAGAATACTGAAATAACTGATGAAGACCTAGAGTTCCTTAAAAAAAACACCCAGTATAATGAAAAGACAATCAAGGAAATGTACAATGGGTTTAAGGTAAAGCTTACTAGTTCTGGTAGATCAAACTGCCAGTATTATTTTTATATCTCGCAGGTTTTGCCTGTTATTTTAACTTTTTAATCATAAAAACATAATCTTACAAAGGTCAACTTTAAATTAAAATGACTTTGAATATGCAAATCAGGAAGTCGTGTGACAACCACAATTAATATAAGGGGATTTAGAATTTTAAGGAAGAGAATATCATTTGTATTTAATCACATTGGGAAATGAAGGAGTAGGGTCAACTTGGAACACCAGGATCATCCAGAAAGGGACTTGCAACAAGTCATACACCAGCCATGGTAAGCAAAATGTGGTATCTTGTTAAAGGTGGGAATTCATAAACAAAAAGGGTCAGTGGCAAAAACTGTTCACATGTCTCAGGCAACAGGAAACAATATGACCAAGAAGGATCTCCATCTGAAAATGAGGACAATTGGCCAAGGGCTCCTCAAGATAGGGTTTCCAGTTACACCTTTTCAACCATCACATACCTCAAGTAACTGAAGAATAAAATGGGTATTCATGCTATTCTATATGAATAAAAAAAATACTGGTCAAGTTGCTGGCTGTAACACCTATGGTTTTCTTTTGCAATTGGACTCTTCAGCTGAGTGCTAGGAAACCATCATTCTCATACACTACATGGATTATGGAAAGCATGTAGAGAGGAGTGGTTTTCTTTGGACTTGGGAGCTTAATGACTTAGCCTTTCTGCAGTAGAAACTGCAGTGCAGGCTATTGTCAGGATTCACTGGCAACATGGACTGTAATGACATGGCAAGGTTCCAAAATCATTTTAATAGAACTAACATAAGATCTGCAGACTACAGTATTTGTCAGGTTTGTGTGACTAATTACAAACTTCTGTTTATGTTCAAAAAGACTTATCTTTGGTTTAACCATTGAAATAAGAAAAGTTGCATTTACCCAGCTAGGCCTCATCATAAGCTCAACCTAAAGATGAACCCAATATATGAAACCATAAATATGAACAGATGGTAATTCTGGTTTTTGTTTTATATCTTAGTATGTGGAGGTGTTTAACAGCACAAGAATTTAGCAAAACTTGCTCGTACAAAAGACCATCTAATTCATCAGATGGAAAACAAACTTTTATAATAAATTTTTAAAATACGGTAATACCAAAAAACATCTTTATGGACATTTGGAATTTCCCTAAATTCCATCATTAGCATTAAAATCTCAAAGAAAAAGTTAGTTCATAATATTCGAACTACAAAAAACAACATTAACATTGAATGAGTTTTCTTATTGAATAGGAAGTTTAGAAAGAATAGATTTAAATGGCAAAAATACAATGGACATGTTTAATAAATAACATTGTTGAGAGAAACTATTATAGAGAAAGGCTTAAATATAATTATAAACAATGTATCTTTAAAATAATAATACAAATCAAATAAAAACACTGAGAATCTGGAATTGGTCACATTAATGACAACAGGGTGGAGTTGATGTTATTATTTAGTGTTGGGTAATCATTGAAAATGGAGAGGCTTTCTTTAATAAAGAGTTCGTAATCTGTTGTTCCGGAGTCAAGAATTTTAAAGTTTTCTAGAAGTAAGGGGTGGTTGTTATTCTCACTGTACAATCAGCTACAAGACTCAGGAGGATTAGTTAGCTTGTATCACCATATTATAGATGTTTTTTGGTATTACCGTGTTTTTAATATTTATTAGAAAAGACTAACACCAGTTCCTTGTATTGATAGTCACCTCAATGATGGTAGAACATGGCAGTAAAAGCATGTCAGACTTTAAGAATACATGCTACAGATATCATAAGAACAGCTTCTCTTTGAATTATGAAATTGTATTCATCAATGTAATTTTAGCAAAAATTGATTTTTTTTATTTTTATTTTTTTTACTGACAGTAAGGGGTTCTTGAGTTCCTGAGTTTTAAATACCCTGGCTCAGTACTGAGTAAATTATAAGCTCAGCTAAGAAAATTACAAATCAGTGTGACCAGCTTTCATAGTGTAAATCATCAAGTAAATGTCTTTAAAAAAAACTGTTGGAAGAGGGTTTCTGTATTATACAATATGAAATAATTTTGTAAAAAGTTACAGCTTTTACAGTAAGGAAGAACATTTTTAAAATAGGTATAATGTCTCAATCACTGGTACAATTATTCTCAAGTTACACAAGTTTTAACAGTAAAGAAGGTTTTTAGTACTTAGTTCAACAATGTGTGTTGAATTAAATACTAAAAACTTTTTTACTGTTAAAACTTGTGTAAC